ACAAAAAAAAAAAAAAACAGAAAAACTGAGGCAAGACAATCACTTGAGGCTAAGAGCTTGAGAATGCTGTGAGCTATGACAGCACCGTCACAGGTCTCAAAAAAAAAGAAAGAAAGAAAGAAAAAAGGAAAAGAAACATGAGATCCAGAATTAGATCATTTTGTTCTCATTTTTCTCCCCAGACTTTGGTCCAGGTCTTTGAAATCAATGTTGTCATATTGGGCAACTAGCCCAGTCTAGGAAGCAGGTGTCCTGTCTGGGTCCCAACACTGAGGAAAGCTGAGGGGAGGTCAAGTGTCTGAGAATTCTCTCCAGAGATACAGTGAGCACAGGAGAGGGAACTAAGAGAGGACCAAAGTGCAGAGAAACTGAGTGCCATACCTGATAGAACTCAGCTACCTGGATCCAATCAGAAGGCAACTGGACAATGGCACAGAAGTACCGACGCAAGTGAGGGCGGCAGACCGGCAAGAAGGCAGCAATGGCCAAGACTTTATTGGCCACATCACGGACATTCAGCTGCTGCCTAGCGTACAAAGAGGCCTAGGGCACAAGGTGGGGAGAGTTGGCATCTCAGCCATGTCTCCTTCAGCTTCATATGCTGAACTCACCAGTTACATCTACCTGCATAAAACTTTTCCTGAGCCTTCCATAGTACTAGCCTGCAAATACAAAGCCCAAACCTCTTGGTGTGGCATTGCAAGTTCTCCACACCCTACCCCTTATCTGCCTTTCCAACATGTCTTCTACTGAGTCCGTCGATTGCCTTCCAAACCAACAAGGCTCTTGCCCTTTTTGAAAGATCTGCATCAATGTCTATTAAAATTTACCCAGGTTTAGGGCAGTGCCTGTGGCTCAGTGACTAGGGTGCTGGCCCCATAGACTGAGGGTGGCGGGTTCAAACCCAGACCTAGCCAAACTGCAACAAAAAATAGCTGGGCATTGTGGCAGGTACCTGTAGTCCTAGCTACTCGGGAGGCTGAGACAAGAGGATCTCCTAAGCCCAGGAGTTGGAGGTTGCAGTGAGCTGTGATGCCACAGCACTCTACCGTGGATGACAAAGTGAGACTATCTCTTTTTCTTTTTTTTTTTTTGAGACAGAGCCTCAAGCTGTCCCCCTGGGTAGAGTGCTATGGCATCACAGCTCACAGCAACCTCCAACTCCTGGGCTCAAGCAAGTCTCCTGCCTCAGCCTCCCAAGTAGCTGGGACCACAGGTACCCACCACAGCGCCTGGCTATTTTTTGGTTGCAGCTGTCATTGTTGTTTGGTGGGCCCGGGCTGGATTCGAACCTGCCACCTTAGGTGTATGTGGCTGGCGCCTTAGCCACTTGAGCCACAGGCGCTGAGCCGAGACTCTATCTCTTAAAAAAAAAAATGTACCCAGGTTTCAATCTTTGATTAAATCTGTTATCTTCTCACAGAAAACATTTTATTCCTCTTCTCTGTTTAAGAAACATTCACTATTTACTACTCCAGTTATATTTATACATCTGAGAAAGTATTTTGCTTCCCTAATAATGTCACAAGCTCCTTAAAAAACAGATCCATATTTCATTTTATCTGAATAACTCTGGAAGTCTAACATTGTGTACTTAGCTGAGTACTTACCAACCAAACCAATCCCAGTATATCCTTTCCCCACCCTTCACAGAAGTTCAGGGACTAGGTCTCAGTTCTATCCAGAGATCTTCCCTAAGTGAAGCTTCTCACACACCATGGCCACATTCCCAAGCTCCCAGCTGCCCACTCTCATCCCCTCCTATGCACCATAATACCTTGAGGATAAACTCAGGCTCCAAGGGGGCAAGTTCACTACAGACTTCAAGGATGGAAGCACCAGTGGGGTCAGCTGCATCTTTCATGTTTACCTTTGTGGCCAGAGTAGAGCACAGCAAGCTCATTAGAGCCATCTGGGAAGTGAGAAAAAGATGGGTAATAAAGCACCAATAAAAACATCCATGCAGGCCAGATGCGGGTGCTCCTGCCTGCAATCTTAGCACTCTGGGAGGATGAGGTGGGAGGATCCCTTAAGCTGAGGAGTCTGAGACTAGCCTAAGCAAGAGCAAGATCCCATCTCTTAAAAAACAAAAAAAGAATCCATGCAGAACACCTTACAAAATCAAGGACACAGAGAATGGATCCCAGATTTAGGGTCCAACAAGAGGTCAGGAAAGGGGATTAAGAAGTGAGTAATAAGTGCTGGGTTGTGTCCCCTCCTTCCCTTTCCAACAGGGGAAGAGACCTTATTCAGGTACCCCACTCCCAGCCTCCTCCCCATCTCTATCAATCATTTCACAACTCTGGAACTTTCACCTTCTTTTCCTTAAGGACGTGGTCAACAAGCTCAGGACAAGATTCAGAGACTCCAGATGTGAGCTTCAGGGCCAACTTCACATCCTCCTCCTCCTCTCCCAAGCTCAAAACATAAAAAGGCATTGGGGCCTCTGCCCCTTCCTTGTCTTCTGGCTTTTGCTTTTCTTCTGCATAGGACCAACGACCCTGGGGATAGTGGCAGTTATGAATCACAGCACATATTCATAGACCTCAAACACAGACAGATCTGAAGGAGGCTCCTGGGGACAGGAAGAGTCCACATCTCTTTTCAGCACCTACACATTCCTCTCCCTTCATGACCCAGCACTGACCTCCCATCCCTGACTTCATGCTCTCACACATCACCTTTCCCTATCAACCCTCTGAGCCTTTACCTAGCTGCTCCATTATCCCCCCTACTGCTCCTACTTTCACCTCTTATTGAGTCACAGCCTGGGAGCATGGGGCCCCTGATACCCCTCTTATGGTGCTATTAGGATGTTTTGGTGGTCAGAAGAAAAAGAGCCAGTTCCCATCTCAATCCCCCAGCAACCTTGGGCACTTAATCTTGGGCCAGTCTGAACTACTGTCTCCTCATTCACTACCACCAATGGTAAACTAAATAGGATAATGTATTTACGACTGTGTAAATTAGAAAGTCCTAAATCAATGTAAGACAGCAGTAGCTATGATCCTGACAACACCCTTTGAAGCGGATTTTCACTGACTCCAATTTATTTTATTTATGTATTTATTTTTGAGACAGAGTCTCAAGCTGTCACCCTGGGTAGAGTGCCATGGCATCACAGCTCACAGCAACCTCAAACTCTTGGGCTTAAGCAATTCTCTTGCCTCAGCCTCCCAAGTAGCTGGGACTACAGGCACCTGCCACAATGCCTGGCTATTTTTGTTGTTGTTTTTTCAGTTGTCATTGTTGTTTTAGCTGGCCTAGATTGGGTGTATGTGGCCAGCCTCGGTGTATGTGGCCAGCACTCTACCTACTGAGCTACAGGCACCGCCAACTGACTTCATTTTAAAGATGAGGAAATTAAGGCTCTATAAGGTCAAGAAACTGCCCAAGGTTGCATAGGGTTCAGATTAGCCTTTTCCTTCAGCCCAAACCACAGGTATATACAGAAGCAATGTGTGTCTACTGATTCTGAACTATATACTAAATGTGTTTATGCAAATGTGTATGAGTGACGTGTGTTTCCACATCCACACATATGGAAGTGGGCCTTGGGATAGACCCAGATATAGCCATCGGAAAATTATTTAGCAGATGTATCTCAGGTCTGATTTCAGAGGCACCTGACTGACTCTGCTATAGCAGTGTCATGCTGACTGTCCAGAGTAGAGGCTCTCTAAAGACAGGCACTGATTGTGATCTATTGTCCAGAATCTCTAAACTAGATACATAATAAGAATAATAAGGCTCATGAAGATGGCTCTGGGATACAAAGGGCACCTCATAATATGTCTAAGGAGTGAAGATACCCAGACCTAAAATAGCACAGAGGGAAACTGAAGCAAGAAAGCTGTAATTATAATAAGAGATAAAGCTGGAGTGAGGATGAGTGCCTAGAGCTATTACCAAAGTTGCTACCTGAACTGTCTCTGTAGCAGAGGTAGATTTTGAGGTATTCAGGTTATACAAATCAGCTTGCGACCTGTGAGATATCTGGAGGCACTGGAGCAAGGGGCTGGCAGACATGGTGCTCTTTAGACTAGAGAGGGTAGTCAGGCACCGATTCTCTAAGGAGAGGATGTCTGGGTAGGCAGAGGCATGCCCATGGGTTTTCCCCATGGTCTTCAGGTCAGGAAGCATGGCCAGGCACCGGTTCTCCAAGGAGAGGATATTTGGGTGGGTAGACGCATGTCCATGTGGTTTCTCCATGGTCTTCAGGTCAGGAAGCATGGCCAGGCACCGGTTCTCCAAGGAGAGGATGTCTGAGTGGGCAGACACATGCCCATGGAATTTCTCCATGGCTGAAACTCAACTAGCATATGCCTAGAAAGAGAAAGACAGATGATGAGCACCTGACTGCACTGGGAGTGTATCTTTCCCATAACACTCCTGGTAGAAAACCACCAGTGTTGTTTTTCACTGGACTGGCTCATCCAAGGAGTATTCTAAGGGAGAGGAGTAAGGAAAAGGTAAGGCAGAGGTTTAAGAACAGGGGAATTAAAAAAAAAAAAAATAGAAAGAAAGGGAAGGGTGTGTCTTTTCATGAAGGGATAAAGGGGGCTCCTCCTAGGCTATCGATGTGATCCCTACTTAGTGGAAGGGCCTCATATAATCTGGACTCTGGACTTTTGGCTCCAGAAAAACAAACATTTTGATCAAGTTCTTTATCCTCACTACCTCAACTTCCTTGTTCCCTACTCACTCTTCAAGCAACTCAATGGAATTCTGTCCCCACCAGTTCACGTCTGTTGTGACATCTATAAATGCCTCTCCCTTCACAATTCAGCATTGTGAACAACATAACTTCTTGTTACTACTACAGTGAATAGACACATCTTAGCCCTTATCTTATTTCACCCCTTATGTACAATATGACATTGTTGATTACTCTCTCACTGAGCACTCTCTTCCTTGGCTTCCATGATGCTGCTGTCCTTATAATTATTCTGGCTATATCTTCTTGGGGATTCTTTCTCTGCTATTCCTTAAAATTCATGTTCCTTACAGTTCTGTCCTAATCCTTTTAGATACTCTCCTGGGGTGGACTCTCCTATTCTGTGGCTCCAAATGACATCTCCATGTTAGCAACTCATAGATCTATTCCTCAACATAGGAGTTTACAGTGAGATACACTTGAATTTGGTTTTTTTTCCTTTTTTTAGAGACAGAGTCTCACTTTGTCACCCTTAGTAGAGTGCAGGGGCACCACAGCTCACAACAACCTCCAGCTCTTGGGCTTAGGTGATTCTCTTGCCTCAGTCTCCTGAGTGGCCGGGACTACAGTCGCCCACCACAACACCTGGCTATTTTTTTGTTGCAGTTTGGCCGGGGCTGGGTTTGAACCCGCCACCCTCGGTATATGGGGCCAGCACCCTACTCACTGAGCCACAGGCACCGCCAATACACTTGAATTTGAATCCTAGCTCCTCCACCTTGGGATCTTGGGCAAGTTATTTAAATCCCCTGTGCATGCACAATTTTCTCATCTACATAATTAAGAAAAATGCTTACCATATAGAGTTAGAAAAAATATATTAAGTCCTTGGAATACTGCCTGAAAATTAGTAAATGTTCAATAAATAGAAGCTATTCCATGAAGTGGGAAGTGTGTAAGAATAAAATATTGTTATTTGTTATTATCCACTAAACTCCCAAATCCTATGGATTCTACTCACTCAACGTCTCTCAAATCTATCTAGTTCTCTCCTTTCCTCCATTGTCGAAATCCTCAAATCCACGTGGAGACATACTATATGTAGATCCAAGGAGATATAACCCCAATATTTACCACAGCTATCATTTACTATAGACCTGTTTAGTAACTTTTTTTTTTTTTTTTGAGACAGAGTCTCACTTTGTGGCCCTGAGTAAAGTGTCAAGGCATCATAGCTCACAGCAACCTCAAACTCCTGGGCTTGAACAATCCTCTTGCCTCAGCCTCCTCAGTACCCATGGTAGTACTACAGGCATGTACCACCATGCCTGACTAGTTTTTCTATTTTTAGTAGAAACTCAGTCTCACTCTTGCTCAGGCTGGTGTCAAACTCCTGAGCTCAAGCAATCCACCTTCCTTGGCCTCCCAGACTGCTAGGATTACAGTGGTAAGCCACTGTCTTTACCAAAATAAAAAAAAAAAATCTTGTTTATTTGCCTATTTCTCTTTGCTAAAATAAAACTCCCTGAAGATAAGAGCTCCTTTGTCTTATTCCCCTTTATCCTCAGCATCACACACAAAGTCCACAGTTAAGAGATACCTTGGGCTCAGCGCAACCTCCAACACAACCTGGCTTCTGATCACCTGCCTCATCTCTTATTGATAATCCAATCTAATTCTCAGCACTCTAAGCTTCAACTATACAAATTCTTTTCAGCTTAGGAATTGTCAAGGTATCTCTCTCTTTTTTTTCTTTTTTTTTGAGACAGAGCCTCAAGCTGTCACTCTGGGTAGAGTGCTGTGGTGTCACAGCTCACAGCAACCTCCAACTCCTGGGCAAGTGATTAACCAGGGCAAGTGATTCTCCTGCCTCTGCCTCCCAAGTAGCTGGGACTAAAGATGCCCTCCACAATGCCTGGCTTTTTTTTTTTTTGGTTGCAGCCATCATTATTGTTTGGCAGGCCGGGCTAGATTCGAACCCACCAGCTCAGGTGTATGTGGCTGGTGCCCTAGCCACTTGAGCCACAGGCGCTGAGCCCAAGGTATCTCTTAACTGTGGACTTTTGCACAAGCAATACCCATGAATGCTCCACCTTCAACTAACACCACCCCTCCTCCAACCTTCCTTTACAAGGCTAAGCTCTACTTTCCCGTCATAGTCAGTTTCATAGTCAATTCCTCCAAGGAGCCTTTGTTGACATCCAGCCCTCAGTCTAGTTTTCAGGGAATCCATGGAGCTTGTTCATGGAACCTCCAGATCTCCATAAACTACAGATTAAGAATCTCCATCTGTGCTTGGCCAGGTGGTTGCTGCCTGTATTCCTAGCACTTTGAGAGGCCAAAGCAGGAGAATCACTGAGGTTAGAAGTTGGATAACAGCCTGAGCAAAAACAGGACCCCCATCTTACTAAAATAGAAAAACCAAGGCAATAGGATCCCTTAAGCCCAAGACTCGGAGGTTGCTATGAGCTATGACACCACTTCACTCTACCCAGGGAGACTGACCTTAAAGAAAAAAAAAAAAGAAAGAATGAAAGAAAAGATACTATCCCAGCACTGAGGCAGGCGCCTGTAGTCCCAGCTACTCGGGAGGCTGAGACAAGAGAATCACTTGAACCCAAGGGTTTGAGGTTGCTATGAGCTGTGATGTCACAGTACTCTACCAGGGTGACAAAGACTCTGTCTCAATAAATAAATAAAATTGACAAAAAATAAGAGCAGTTAAATTGTTTCGCCCTTCTCTAGAGATAACCATTGCTATCAGTTTTATACTAACAGTTTCAGGCACTCTCTATGCATATACAAATATATATGTGTCTCCCCCACCACCAACTGCTTTTGCTTTCTTTACACTGACAGACTCATAGTTTGGCTATTCTGCACTTAGTACTATCCTGGAGACCTTGCTGTGTTAGCACATTAACGTGGTTGTGTGATAGTCCAGCACAGCTAAGCACACCCCGGTTGGTTCTCTCTTATTATCAACACTGCTCATATTACCGTTTGCTGGTGGCTACTCTCTTCTTCCAGTGAGCACTCAGGGCAGAGAAGTAAGAGGGACTGATTCTCACTAGGTCTCCCTTCTCCTTTCTCTTTCTGTGTCCCCCTATCCCCTGCCCCTCTTTCCCTCCGCCTTTTCTCCTCCTCTCTCACCTCCCTCATGGCCCTCCTGGAGGCGCCCGGAGGGACGGGACAGAGGCGCCCTCCGCCCGGCTGGCGCTCCCCCCGAGTCTCCGCTGGGCCTTTCCCACCCGGCTCACAGCCGCCAGGCCCAGCGCCCCTGCCCGGGGCCAGGGCAAATTCTACCTGCTCTCGAACCTTCCCCAGAGCGGCTGGGAACCGGAAAAGCCGGCTGCTTATCAAGGAGCGCCCGGGTCCTCGGAAGCAGGAAGCAGGAGCCCGGCTCTGGGATCGCCCCCTGTGAGCGTGGAAACCGGTAGAGGAGCCGGCTGGAGCGGGGAGGAGACTGCGCGCCCGCGGAGGCTTACGGGCCGGGGCGGGCCGGGGCGGGCCGGGGCGGGGCGCGGCGCGGCGGCTGCGGGGCTGGGTGGAGGGCAGCGCGGAAAGGAGGCACCGAGTCGGCCGTGCTAAGGCCCAGAGATGTCGGCAACCTGTGGGGAAGGAATTCTCGAGACCCAGACAGGAGTGCAGCCATTTTAGAAAATCACGTCAGAAGCCAGCACTCCTGGAGCGCCTCAAGGCCAGAGTTCCTGGAAACACCCTACCCCCATCTTGACCCTAAGGATCCCCAGAATCCTGACCCGAACTAGGTAAGAGCAGTTGTCTGGCTGACTGCCCCATTCCAGCTATACTGGTAAAGCTAAAAAACGCCTTCTGCAACTGTGTGGGGGCTCAGCTGTCACCTGGTCAGTCTCCATTCTCCTTTTCCCCTCTATTAAAGTTTTTCCTTGTTCCTGGACTGGCCTCCTCTCCTTTCTTGCGGGTCCTCACCCCAGTTCTATGCCAGAACCTCTCAAATGTTTCCTGGTGCCTGAGTTTAATTTGTTGTTGTTTTTCTTTTCCACACCTTGTTTCTCTTTTCTCCTGTCCTTCAGGGACCCCTCTGCCAAATTCCTATCCTCTTTTGCTCATTTTCATTTTCTCTTTTTGTATCTTAAAGTATTTTTTTTTTTTTTTTTTTGGACACAGAGTCTCAACCTATGGCCCTGGGTAGAGTCCTGTGAGGTCACAGCTCACAGCAACCTCAAACACTTGGGCTTCAGCGATTCTCTTGCCTCAGCCTACCAATTTGCTGGGATTATAGACGTCGGCCACAATGCCTGCCTTTATTTTTTTTTTTTTTTCTGCTATTGTTGTTTTATCTGGCCTGGGCTGGGTTCCAACCTGCCAGCCTTGGTGTATGTGGCTGACGCCCCACCTACTGAGATATGAGTGCTGCCTCAAGCGCCATTTTTTGAAAAAGATTTTGGCATGTTTGCTGCCTATCTGTACACCCTTTTTCCCTGGTATCTTACACAGCTGGACTCTTGATTCACCCTGGAGTTCCTTTGGCGATATAGAATTTATTTATTTAAGGGCTAGTGAGGTGGCTCATCCCTTTAATCCCAGCACTTGGGAGGCTGAGGCAGGTAGATTGCCTGAGCTGACAGATTGGAGACCAGCCTGAGCAAGAGCAAGACCCCATTTCTAAAAAATAGCTGGGCGTTGTGGCAGGTGCCTGTAGTCCCAACTATTTGGGAGGCTGAGGCAAGAGAATCTCTTAAGCCCAAGAATTTGAGATTGCTGTGAGCTATGATGCCAGGGCACTCTACCCGGGGAAACAAAGTGAGACTCTGTCTCAAAAAACAAAACAAAACAAAACAACAACTTATTTTTTTTTGGACAGAGTGAGAATTTGTCTCAAAAAAAAGGGGGGGGCGTGGCACCTGTGGCTCAAAGGAGTAGGGTGCTGGGCGCTGGCCAAAAACTGCAAAAAAAAAAAGAATGCACTGGCAATATCATAGCTCACTTTAACCTCAAACTCCAAAAAAAAGAAAATGCAATGGCAACATCATAGCTCACTTTAACCTCAAACTGCTAGGTTCAAAAGGAATCCTCCTGCCACAGCCTCCCAAATAGCTGAGACTACAGTCACCCCCCTACACACACCATGCCTAGCCAGTTTTTCTATTTTTAGTAGAGACAGTGTCTAACTCCTGAGCTCAAGGGATCCTCCACCTCAGCCTATAGTCAAGAGCCACCATGCCCTGCCAGGTGGGAATTTTTTTTGAGACAGCGTCTCAAGCTGTCACCCTGGTTAGAGTGCCATAGCGTCACATCTCACAGCAACCTCAAACTCTTGGGCATAAGTGATTCTCTTGGCCTCAGCCTCCCAAGTAGCTGGGACTACAGGTGCCTACCACAATGCCCAGCTATTTTTTCTTGCAGTTGTCATTGTTGTTTTAGCTGGCCTGGGCCAGGTTTGAACCCGCCAATCTTGGTGTGCGTGGCTGGCGCCCCACCCACTGAGCTACGGGCGCTGCCCAAAGGGTGAAATTTTTAATTCTCTGATGTCAAAAGGTGAAGTGAAAACCCTGACAGTGTACACTCCATAAGACAAATTAAAACCACTCCCGGGGGCATCATCTGTGGCTCAGTGGGCAGGGTGCAGGCCCCATATACGGAGGGTGACAGGTTCAAACCTGGCCCCCACCAAACTGCAACAATAAAAAAATATAGCTGGCTGGGCGGCACCTGTGACTCAAAGGAGTAGGGCTCCGGCCTCATATGCCAGAGGTGGCAGGTTCAAACCCAGCCCCGGCCAAAAAGTGCCAAAAAAAAAAAAAATAGCCAGGTGTTGTGGCAGGCACCTGTAGTCCCAAGTACTCGGGAGGCTGAGGCAAGGGAATCACCTAAGCCCAGGAGGTGGAAGTTGCTGTGACTTGTGTGACACCACAGCACTCTATCGTGAACAATAAAATGAAACTCTGTCTTGAAACCACAGAAAGGGAAGACTGGACCAAGAGACTGGTTTCTAATTAGCCCATAAGGAAGAAAGCCTGACTGCTATTACTAATAGAAGGAGGGAGCGTAATGAGGCCCATCTGACTTCCCAGCCTGTTACAGTTGGGAACTCCATTTTAAGGTTTCTCTGGGGTCCTTTTGTCCAAGAGGGAGTTTCGTCAGCAGAGGGCTTAGAATTTTATTTTAGTTTATACCCCAAATTTAATATATTGAAACTATCTACAAAATGACAGTATTAGGAGAAAGCCAGGCACGGTGGCTCACACCTGGAATCCTAGCACTTGGGAGGCCAAGGTGGGTGGATTGCCTGAGCTCACAGGTTCAAGACCAGCCTGAGCCAGAGCAAGACCTTGGTTCTAAAAATAGCCAGGCATGTGGCTGGCACCTGTAGACCCACCCAGCTACTTGGGAAGCTGAGGCAAGAGAATTGCTGAAGCCTAGGACTGAGGTTGCTGTGAGCTGTGATGCCATGGCACTACCATGGGTGACAAAGTAAGACTCTTGTCTCAAAAAAAAAAAAGATGCCGGGAGCCCTCATGAATGGGATTAGTAACTTTATAAAAGGGCTGAAGGGAACCATCTATCACCCCCTTTTTGCCCTTTCACCTTCTGCCACATGAGGAAGTGGCAAGAAGGACCCTGCCAGACACCAAATGCCAGGTCTTGAACTTCACCTTGACCTCAGACATCAGAATTATTTATAATAGTTATTTATTTATAATAGAAATGTATATGGGTATTTTGTTACAGCAGCACAAACCGACTAAGACATCAGTGATACTAATACACAGACAAGTTTGGGAACCTCTGTCCCACAGTATTACTAATCAGCATCACCTTGTCAGAAATGCAGAATCTCAGCCCCCCCAGACTTACTAAATCACAATCTTGTATTTATTTATTTATTTATTTTTTGAGACAGAGTCTCACTATGTCACACTCAGTAGGTGCTATGGCATCACAGCTCACAGTAACCTCAAACTCTTGGGCTTAAGCAATTCTTTTGTCTTAGCCTCCCAAGTAGCTGGGACCATAGGCACCCCCCACAACAACCAGCTATTTTGTTGTTGTTGCAGTGGTCACTATTGTTTAGCTGGCCCCAGGCCAGGTTCAAACGGCCAGCCTTGTTGCATGTGGCTGGTGCCGTAACCACTGTGCTATGGATCCCACAATCTTTTATTTTATTTTTGAGACAGAGTCTTACTTGGTAGAGTTGCCCTTGGTTGAGTGCTGTGGCATCATAGTTCACAGCAACTTCAGACACCTGGGCTTAAGCAATTCTCCTACCTCAGCCAGTTGTTGGGTGGATCAGGGAATGTTTCTTGTTCTTTGCACCACAGGAGAGATAACTCAAGGAAATCATCTGAGTGGAGGTCATAAGATCTTGTTAGCTGAGTATGGGATGAATCTGGGCAGAGGCCTTGAGCTTGTCTAATGAGAGTACATATAGTGAGAATAAGATGGATTTAGTTAGGGCAGGGCTAAGACCACACAGATGGTCTGGTCGATTTGGGTCCTATAGGACTATTACCGCCTCATTTCCATTCTTGTTTGAGAAGGACCCTATCACCTATTAAAATTGCTCACTTCTGGTCAGTCTTAGTGCACATTCATTTTCCTCCACTTTGATTCAACAAATATCTACTAGACACCTAATTTTTTAAGCTGTTGCCCTGGGTAGAGTGCTGTGGCATCACAGCTCATAGCAACCTCCAACTCTTAGGTTTAAGCAATTCTCTCACCTCAGCCTCCCAAGTAGCTGGGAATACAGGCGCCTGCCGCAACACCAAGCTATTTTTTGGTTGTAGTTGTCGTTGTTTGGTAGGCCCAGGCTAGATTTGAACCCACCAGCTCTGGTGTATGTGGCTGGCGCCCTAGGCACTTGAGCTACAGGTGCCAAGCCTGCTAGACACCTGTTAAGGGCACAGGATAGAGCTAATACTTGGGTAGAGTGTACAAAACATGCCTTCTTGCCAAGACGTCATGGGCTCATAGAGACAGAAACATACAGAAGTCACAAAGACCCAGGAACAAACTATAGGGTAATATGGATAGGGCAGGGATCTCCAGCAAGTTCCTGGAGAAAATGGACTTTGAACTGGAAGGGCAGGCCTCTGATAAGAAGGTTGGAGGGGAGTTAAACCAGTAGAGTGGAAAGACCTTTGGTTTTATCCGATTTATGTTTCTTTTGTGAATAATTATGTTTAGACTCACAGTATAAAAGACTATGCTTTCAGGGATCATTTCTATAGTCCTTTACAAGATTCACCGTATGTATTTCTGTTTAACCACCATACCTTGAAACCATGACACAAACTGAAATAAAGACAAGCATGCCCTTTTGGGGTAGAGCTTAGTACCCCAGACAAGCCCTTCTAGGCCATCTGAAGAAGCAGAAGCCAATCAGCGGACTGCAGGAGCCTTGGTGCCTTCTTCTTTGAGACTCCTCTGACTCAGAATAGCCCTGTATTTTTGGTTTTATCTGTTGACCTTTACCAACATCTTCATTTTTCTTCAAAGGACATTCCCCACTAGCCTTTCTTATCAGAATTTGTGACCTAAATTTGCTTCTCTTCCCCTTGAGAAGCAGAGTCTGAATCTGGGCTGACCTAGTGACTTGCTGGACCAATATAATGTGGCAGAAGTTGCCTTCTGGGACTTCTGGACCTCAGTCAAAGGAAACTTGCACCTTTCACCCAAGACTCTGAACACTCTCCCTTGGGAAGCCCTGATCTGCCAAATTAGTGCAAGTACCCTGGGACTGCCACACTGTAGAGAACACATATAGGTGCTGCATTAACAGTTTCAGCTCCGCTTTCTAGCCATCCCCCACCAGGGCACCAGACATGTGAAAGAAGTTGCCTTGAACCCTCCATACCAGCCCTTTGACTACCAGACTATCACCAAGTAACTTCCATCAATGACACATGGAACAGAAAAATCGTTGAGCTGAATCGAATTCTAAGTTTAGTGAAACCAATGACAAGTAAACTTGTGAGATATAATAAAATTGTTGTTGTTCTAAGTCACTAAGTTTTAGGCAGCAGTAAACAACCAGTACAGCAGGCCTGCAAATTTTTAGGCATCCTTCCTTTAAAACCTTTTTTTTTTTTTTTTTTTTTGGAGACACAGTCTCACTCTGTTGCCCAGGCTAGAGTGCCATGCCCTCAGCCTGGCAACCTTAAACTCCTGAGTTTAAGAGATCTTGCTGCCTCAGCTTCTCCAGTAGTTAAGACTACAGACACCTGACTCAAGGCTGGCTATGTTTTTTAACTATTTTTAGTAGACTAACTCTTGCTCAGGCTGGTCTCAAACTCCTGAGCTCAAGTCATCCTCCTGCCTCTTACTCCCAGAGTGTTAGGATTACAGGCATAAGCCAATGCACCTGGTCCCTTACATCTGTATTAATAAACACTTTTGTTTTTTAAGAGACAGAGTCCTTTTTTTTTAAGATTTTATTTTTTTAAATTATTTTTTATTAAATCATAACTTTGTACATTGATGCATTTATGGGATTCAGGGTACTGCTTTGGTATACAATGTGAAATGTGAACTAAGTAACACATCCATCAAAACTATACTCATTTCTTTATTTTATTTTAAAATTTATTTTATTTTATTTTATTTTTTTGAGACAGCACCTCCAGCTATTGCCGTGGGTAGAGGGCTGTGGCATCACAGCTCACAGCAACCTCCAACTCCTGGGCTTAAGTGATTCTCTTGCCTCAGCCTCCCAAGTAGCTAGCACTACAGGCGCCCACCACAACGCCCAGCTATTTCTTCATTGCAGTTTGGCCAGGGCCAGGTTTGAACCTGCCACCCTCGGTATATGGGGTCGGCGCTGTACTCACTGAGCCACAGGTGCTGCCCTCAAGTTACTGATTCTAACTCAGTATGCTTTCAAGGATATATATATATATAAATTTTTTTTTTTTTTTTTTGAGACAGAGTCTCACTTTGTCACCCTCAGTAGAGACCTATGGCATCATAGCTCACAGCAGCCCCAAACTCTTGGGCTTAAGAGATCCTCTTACCTCAGCCTCCCAAGTAACTGAGACTACAGGCATCCACCACAACTCCTGGGTATTTTTAGAGATGGGGTCTTGGTCTTGCTCAGGCTGGTTTCAAACTCCTGAGCCCAAGCCATTCACCCCCCTCAACCACCCAAAGTAGGCTTGAGCCACCATGCCCAACCTAACAGCTTGGTTCATTCTGGTTTACCAAAGATAAGAAACCTGGGCCTCTGAGCAGTCCTCAAACTATCCTTTCCAGGTCTCCAACATGATTGTGCAGTCTGTATGAATGGTTTCTGTTCCAATTCCTGGTTTATCACTCCGCTTCCTCTCTGGGGTTGAAATACTACCCTAAATCTCAGTCTGCTTGGCTAAGGCCCCAAGATGTTATCTACATCTAGTCTCCTCTCACTGAAGAATGGATTGCTGACTGGGGTCCTGCTTCAAATCAGAAATTGCTCCTCTCCTCTCCTCACCCTACCCTCCCTTTAAAAACTAAATAATGAAAATCAGAAACTTCTGTAACTAACTATGCCATCCACATACGGCTGGACACTTGCTTTGCAGCTCCACTAGGGATGGAACCCTCCCCCTTGGAAGCTCTGATCTGGTTTACTGCCACCCTGTGGATTGGAGAAATAAGAGAAGGTCCATCCAGGAGAGCATGCTACCTTGGGAGCCAGGAGAGGACAAACTTTCAGGGTTAGAGCTAGTTTTCAAGCCAGTCAGTTCCTGCAGAAAGATGAAAGAGAATAAACTGGTCACAGATTATTAGATTTGGTAAGAAGTAGATCATGGTAACAATGGAAGGAGGTGGCTTTAGTAGTGTGGTGGAGAAAAAAGCCAGATTACAGAGAATTTTATTTTGAATGTTTGTTTTTTTTTTTTAGTAGAGAAACTCAGATAAGAATGATTGGATCAATGTGAAACCTTTATTTATGCCTGTCTTTAGATACAAATCACAAAGAAAATGTTTACAAAAGTTCACCCAAGCTTTATGGTTTTTCATCTCCTTGAATTTCCTTCTCCCCTTTCCTCTTCATTCTTTTTTCTCTTTTTTCTTATATATCCTACTTACCCTGCCTCATTTTCAACTATATTCCTAGTCTATCTTAAATAGAGACAATAGAAAAAAAATCTTGGCAAATATGGAAATCTCAAAACAATAAACAAACATGTCAAATACTTCTGGGGCCAGAATGAAGAAAAGAGGCTACATTATCTCACTTAGGAGCATGAAAATCATAAGAGAGGATGTTAATAGATAATTGACCTGCACAAAGAACCAACCCTTCTTTTCCCTGAGCTGCCGAGGGGGCAGAAATGGAAATACCAGACAGAGAAGATTTAGGGGAGCTATGGATGAATATACAATTGTTAAATGAAAGCCATCGTCTTTTTTTTTTTATTTGAGACAGAGTCTCACTATGTCACCCTGGGTAGAGTGCCATGGCATCACAGCTCACAGCAACCTCAAACTCTTGGTCTCAAGTGATTCTCTTGCCTCAGCCTCCCAAGTAGCTGGGACAACAGGCGCCCACCACAATGCCCAGCTATTTTTTTTGTTGCCATTATCAGTGTTTAGCTGGCCCAGGCTGGGTTTGAACCCAGCAGCCTGGGTGTATGTGGCTGGTGCTGTAACTACTGTGCTACAGGCACTGAGCCAAAAGCCATCATCTTCAGAAAGGCTCCAGAGAAGAGGTTAGGTGGCAAGAGCAGCAGAATTCTCTGTAGAGAAGTACTGACTTCCTCTTTCCTATTGAGAAACAGGGCACAGCACGTGCCACTCATGTCTCTCTTTCTGTCTGAAATGCATCTCCCCTGCCCTAACTGGTGACTTTCTGGGCAGCCTTCAAGATCCAGTCCCAAGCATACCCATCTAATGATACCTTTCCTAATAGAAGTCTTCCTAGGCAAAGTTCACTCCTCCATCCTCTGGGCTCTTAGATGACTTTTCCATACCTACAAGTCCACTGTAAAACTTGAATTTGTTTCCCAGTCTGTCTGCTCATTGGGAGCTCAATGACCTTTGCATGCTTGCTGTCACCTGAGTGCCTGGCACATGATAGGTAATTAATAACTGTATGAAGGAGAAAGGAGAAGAGAAAGAAGAGCAGGGGGATGGGGAAACAAGATGGAGGAAGGGAGAAAGAGGAAGCATCTGACAATCTTCCCTGACTAAGAAAAAGGAAAATTTATTTTTAAAAAATTCTGAGGGAAATGGACTGAAAGGGAGAAATGACTTTTCTGGGTCTTCTCTGCCTCTCTGTCACTTCCTCTCATGACTCGGGGCCTCACGCCACAACTGTCCCGTTTTCATTCCTGATCCCTCAGTTTGCCCAAAGGGAAGGAAAGAAGCCAGACAGCTTTCTGACATCTGCTCCATCCCCCCAAACTTCATTTCATCTTTTGTCCACTGTGGGCCCCTTCCTCCTTGGCCTGTGCTGTCCTCACCTTCCCCCACACATCACTGCTGCCTCATTGCCTGGAAGGCCCTCAGCCCCCCCAACCCCCGTGTTGTCCACAACCAGATCAAACCCAAGACTTTCTCGGGGGCAGCCTGAGGTGTTTGGGCTGGGGAAATGCTAGGCAGGGCCTACAAAGTTACCTGAGAGAGAATATTGTCGAAAGGGTTTAGATATCCCAGGGTTTAGGAAGTAGAAAGGAGCAGGTACTGGGAAAGAGAAGGGCTGAGCAGGTTACAGTCCCTCCTCCCATACTCCTAGGACTCTTTCATGGATGGTATTTCCACATTTTTTCTTTGATCCATGGGTCACAAACACTTTTCCAATGGTCCTCTCATGGCCTCTGTGCTTTGGCTTGGGGAGTTTCATGACTCTTCTAAAGCAGATGAGGTTTCCCTATCAACAGTCCTCAGGCTGTGGAGTTGCTCCCGGGTCTCCTGTCCTTACCCAGGTATCCAGAACCTTCCTTTCCCCAACACCTTTCCCCAAGAGTTCTGAACCACCACCATTTCCTCAGTGGAGATCATATATACAAAAGCAGTTAATAAGCTGTAAAGCACTGTCTGAGAATAAAATACTATCAAGAATGAAGCCTTGTCTCCCTCCTCCTATAATCTCTCTTCTCTCTTGTGATACTTCTTATCCCTTCCTCCTCGCCATACATTGCTGCTCCCCCTTCACCCAGCAGGTTTGGTTTGGTGCAGGGTGTTACCCAAAGCCATGCATTGCACAGTGGGAAGTGTCAGGAGGCAGGCAGGCATCTCAGCCCGAGGCCTTGGCAGAGTCCCCAGGCATAGCCATCGGCCCAGACCAGGACAGTAGGCATGGACAAGGTGGGAGAGGGCATAAGTCTGGTGACTGTAACCCCCCAGCACCAGGAACTCCCCCTGCAGCACAGCACCTGCAGCCCCCACATGAGGGGAGGGCAGGGGTGTCAGCTGAGTCCAGCTATCAGTCTTTGGTTCATAGGTCTCAAAGCTCAGTAGGTCCCCAGTCTCACCTAGGCCACCTGCCACATACAATCGCCCACCCAGAGCAGCCATGACATGGGCAGCCCGAGGTACCCCCATAGGGCTCAGAAATGTCCCTGGCTTCTCAAGTTTAGGGTCATAGTGTAGCAATGAGGCCAGGTATTGGCCAGTTCCACTACATCCTCCGCTCATGTACAATCGGCCCTCCAAAATGGCAGCTGCGTGAGCAAAGCATGGTGCTGGAAGTGCAGGTGCTGGCCTAAAGGAAAACAGGACACAAGATCAGGCAACTCTTTTTTTTTTTTTTTTTTTTTTTTGAGAAAAGGCAGGCTGGAGTGCAGTGGCATCATGGTAGCTCACTGATACAACCTCAAACTCCCAAGTTCAACTGCCAGGACATCCTTCTTCCTCAGCTGTCCCAGTAACTAGGACTACAAGAATGTACCATCATACCAGCCAAATTTTTAACTTTTTGTAGAAATGAAGTGCCACTATGTTGTTTAGTTCGGTCTCAGCCTCCTGGCCTCAAGCAAACTGCCTGCCTCGGCCTCCCAAAATGCTAGGATTATAGGTGTGAGCCACTGCACCGGCCTCACTTCTCCTTCTATGCCAAGTGTCTTAGTCTCTCCCTGATGCCCCTTTGCCTACTCACCTCCAGACATTGAGCTCAGGGTTATAGGTCTCCACAGAGTTGAGGGCAACACCATTGTCTCTTCCACCCAGGGCATAAAGTTGTCCATCTAGTGCCACCAAGGGGAATAAGCTCCGAGCCTGGTGCAAAGGTGCCATCTCTTCCCAGTCCTCTTGACTTGGCTCCCACCTGGACCCAGTGGGAAAAAAGATCAGAAGAGCGACTCTGAGAATCTGTGGGAGAACATTGAGCAGTTTTTTCCACCTGCCCACCTTGGGGCCTGCCACACCCTGTCCACTCTTAGAGGCTCATACCTGAGAGTTGAGGCCAGGGTGTTGGAGTTGCTGTAGAAATCCTGTCCCCCGCACACATAGAGTTCATTTCCTGCCACACTCGCAGCCCCATGCCGGAAGCGCCCTGGGGCAGGCAGGGCAGGCAATCGCCCCCATTCCACAGTTCGTACCAGTCCCATGCCACAGCAGAAGGCCCGAGCCCACCACACTCCTCGGGATGGCTGTCTTAGGGCCATGTCTGATCTGATTTCATCCCCACCAATCACCACCAGTGCCTGGTCAGGCTCCCTCCGCCTCTCTGGGCCTGGAATATCGGCCTTTACCATCAGCTGGTGCAGCAGGTCTGGAGACAGAGATGGGGGTAGCCCAGCTGCCCGCACCCTCCGCAGCTCCCTGGTGGACATTCGGCCAAAGCGGACACATTGCAGCAGGGCCTTGGCATCTGACTCCTGGGTCTCAGGGTTAGCATCTAGCCAACTCCGTGCAGCCACAAAGGCCTCAAACTCCTCCTGCACGTGGAGCTCATCGCTATCCAGCAATTCAGCCAGGCAGGAAGCTGGTAAACTAGGGAAAGTGGGGCACAAAGCCACAGCAGGCAGGTGGGTAAGGAGGTAGTGACGTGCTTTGTTCCAGAGCCTCTCCAACCCAGGGGCTTCAGCCATGGGAAATAGGGCCAGGCAACGGGCAGGATTGAGGCCCCTTGCCAATGCTTTCTGACACAAATCCAGGCAGGAAGAGCTCTGGTACTGAAGAGCAGCCTGGGCAGCTCTCAGAAGTCCTGGCCACCTTGCCCGCACAACCCCAGAGTAGGCAAAAGAGACGAGGAGTCGCAGGTCCTGGGTAGACATGGTATGTAGAGACACCTCCGTGCCCTGGGATTCTCTCATCCCACTTAGAAGCATGGCCCCAAAGAACTCACTGCCGCAGGCCAGGGCTGCTCGATGCACTACAGAAGGAGGGAAAAAGCAGAAGAGGACTCAAAGTGTTGCATGACTGCTGGACACTATCCCAACTTGGTAATAACCAACTATGGCATTTCAAACCACCCAAAGATACAGGTCGAACTGTGGTGTGCAATGGAATAGCATGGGGTACTTATTCAAATGCAGGTTTCAGAGACCCACCCCAGATATTCTGATTCAGTAGCTCTCAACAGAGACCCTATGAATTTTTAAGCACCTGTGTGGTCCTCATGTTAGTAACCTAACTAATACTTTGACACTTTGATAAACATTTGTCTTTGTTATGTTTGTTTGTTTGTTTGTTTGAGACAATCTCAAGCTGTTGCCCTGGGTAGATGGCTGTCGTCAGGGTGTCACAGCTCATAGCAACCTCAAACTCTTGGGCGTAAGTGATTCTCTTGCCTCAGCCTCCTGAGTAGCTGGGACTACAGGTGCCTGCCACACGCCCAGCTATTTTTTGGCTGGAATTGTCATTGTTGTTTAGCAGGTCCAGGCTGGGCTCAAACCCGCCAGCCTTGGTGTATTTGGCTGGCGCCCTACTCACTGAACTACAGGAAGGAAAGAAAAGAAGGAAGAAAGGATGGGAGGGAGAGAAGGAAGGAAGGAAGACCTGGGGATGGGATAGGGTGGAGTGAATGCTGGTAGAATGCTGAGCCTTGGCCAGGTCATTTAGAAAAAGAATATTGATGTATCAAGTCGAGAAGATAACATTTGCTAAGAGGGTCACAAAATAAACTGAAAAAAAACAGTGGGCAACTGATATAGGTCTTTCTATATTGTGCACAGAATAATGTTCTTTCTTTCTTTTTTGTTTTTTTTGAGACAGAGTTTCACTTTGTTACCCCTGTAGAGTGATGTAATGTCGTAGCTCAAAGCAACCTCAAACTCTTAGGCTCAAACGATTCTCTGGTCTTAGCCTCCCAAGTAGCTAGGACTACAGGCACCTGGCACAACGCCCATCTGTTTTTTAGAGATGGGGTCTTGCCCTTGTTCAGGCTAGTCTCAAACCTGTGAGCTCGGGCAATCCACTTGCCTCAGCCTCCCAGAGTGCTAGGATTACACGTATTCGCCACTGCACCCAGCCGAGTAATGTTCGTTCTAATTGCAAGAGCCCCGGCCTTCAGCCATTCTGTTAATCAGTTTTTTTCTGGGAAAGTGGTACTACTCAGGAATGGCTGTAGCCGAACCTCATCTGATTGCCATCTCCTCTTGCCTAAGTTTTACCAGAAGACCAGTCACAGTTGCTCATGCCTATAATCCCAGCACTTTGGAATGCTGAGGTGAGAAGATTGCTACAAAAAAATAAGAAAAATTAGCAGAGCATAGCATGCTTCTATAGTCCAAGCTACTTGGGAGGCTGAGGTGGGAGGATTTCTTGAGCCTGGGAGTTTAGGCTGTAGTGAGCTATGATCAGGCCACTATACCCCAGCCTGGGTGACAGAAAGAAACCCTGTCTCAAATAAATAAATAAATAAATAAATAAGAAAGAAGGAAAGAAAAGAAGGAAGAAAGGATGGGAGGGAGGAAAGGGGATAGGATAGGGTGGGGTGAATGCTGCTAGAAGTGTTTTCAGGTCACAAAAGGGGCCAAGCTCCAAGGGAAGTTTATGAACTCCATGCTGCTTTGACCAATTACGTTACATTTTCCTCTCTCAAGGGGCAAGTGACATTGATACGGTTTTATAATGTCCCATGCAGTAGGTAGTGGCCTGATGCTTCCCAAGTAGTAAATATCAGTGACAGTTTTCAAATATGTATCATCTGAGAAAATCTATATTCCTGGAAACAAGCTAACCCATCTCAGTTTCCATATCATCAATCAACCTACAGCTCAGAGTCAACTGTGAAAGGGCTCACAACCACTTGTATTCATCTCTTACTCATCACTATCCCCTAGGATTTTAGGGTTTCCAAACATAAAGTTGGAATGTTTGGGTTTTTTTTTTTCAGCTTTTGGCTGGGGCTAGGTTTGAACCTGTTACCTCCTGTATATGGGGCCAGCACCCTACTCCTTGAGCCACAGGTGCTGCCCGGAATTTTTTTCTTTTTTAGAGTCTCACTTTGTCACCCTTGGTAGAGTGCTATGGCATCATATCTCACAGCAATCTCAAACTCTTGAGCTCAAGCAATTCTCTTGCCTCAGCCTCCCAAATAGTTGGGACTTCAGGTGCCTGCCACAACGCCCGGTTATTTTTTAGAGATGGGGGTCTCGATCTTGTTTAGCTGGTCTTGAACCCATGAGCTCAGGTAATCCACCCACCTTGGCCTCCGAGTGTTAGGATTACAGGCATGAGCCACTGTATCTGGCACCCAGTGCAAATTTTATTAAGTATGAAAATTTATTTATTTATTTTTTGCAGGTTTTGGCTGGGGCTGGGTTTGAACCCACTACCTCCAGCATATGGGGCTGGCACCCCACTCCCTTGAGCCACAGGCACTGCCCAAGTATGAAAATTTAAATCTACCTTTCAAGGCTGAGGCAGGTAGATTGCCTTAGCTCATGAGTTTGAGGCCAGCCTGACCCAAAGCAAGATCTCATCTCTAAAAATAGCTGGGCATTGTGGTGGGTGCCTGTAGTCCCAGCTATCTGAGAGGCTGAGGCAAGAGAATTGCTTGAGCCCAAGAGTTTGAGGTTAATGTGAGCTGTGATGTCATAGCACTCTACTGAGGGCAACAAAATGAGACTCTGTCTCAAAAGAAAAAAGTTAAATAAAATTGGCTCGGCGCCTGTGGCTCAAGTGGCTAAGGCGCCAGCCACGTACACCCAAGGTGGAGGGTTCGAATCCAGCCCAAACCCGCCAAACAACAATGACAGCTGCAACCAAAAAATAGCCGGGCGTTGTGGCGGGCGCCTGTGGTCCCAGCTACTTGGGAGGCTGAGGCAGATGGCTTGGTTAAGCTCAGGAGTTCCATACCAGCCTGACCAAGAGCAAGAGCCCATCTCTACTAAAAATAGGAAAAAACTAGCCAGTTGTGTGTCTGGCACCTGTAGTCCCAGCTACCTGGGAGGCTGAGCCCAGGAATTTGAGGTTGCTGTGACCTATGATGATGCCATAGTACTCAACCCAGGGCACAGAGGCACAGAGTGAGACTCTGTCTCAAAATAAATTAAAAATAAATAAATAAATAAACCCACCCTTTATCTGGTACTTTCTGAACTGAAAATAAAGACTTCTGGAGTTTTTTTGTCTTCCAAGAGTCCCAGAAGCACTTTGGTTTCCAGTCATTCCTCTAATGAGCAGTAGCTATGTGACTTTGGACGTGTCTTGGTGTCTGATTTCTTCATCAGTAATGTGTTAAGAACTGAACTACATAATCTCTAAACTAATCCCTTGTAACTTCAAGCTTTTATGTGTCCACATTCCCACTCCATTTTCAAGGTCCTACAGTGTTGTGGTATGAATGAATAGAAAACAGACTGGACCACTGAATGTGGGCTTCTATCCTCGTTCTCACTAGACATCTCACAACTTCACGTTCCTTATTTACACTTAGAGATAATGATATCGACTTCACTAGCTTTCCACAAGAATTAAAAGAGATCTTATGTGTAAAAATCCCTGGCACCCAGTAGCTCACTAAATGTTAGTAGAATCTGAATAATACTCAATTTATTCAACCCTACTTAGCTTTACTGATGACGAGCAGAGTTAGCTTCCAAGTGCCAAGCTCAGGTAGCCTTAAGATTCTAGCAAAAGAGTTCCAGACGTTGGTCATTAACCGAAGGACCCATAAATCTGCCACAGTGTCAAGAGTGCTTAGATAAAAGGACACACTGAGATTTCCACCATGTTCTTCCGGCTTTCCTTGTCTCCTGAATAGGATCCCAAGAAAGGCCTTTGGTCAATCCCTGTTTCAGTCAATCACTTTCTGCCTGTTCTACTGCCACTTCGTTCTAGCCAGCTGGCTAGAAATTCCTTGTTTGTGGGTACAGGAAAAGCCAGAGCATGGACGGTCAGTTTAAACCTGTCAAAGAGCCTATCAAAACAACTCAACTGCGCATGCCCAGCTTTCAGCAGGCCAGAAGCCGAGCCAAAGGCCGCCAGGGAAATTCTGACTGCAGCTGGGATCAAAACCACTATGGCGGGGATCAAAAATCACCTGCTGCTTGTACGCATCATTCCGGTAGCATATGCACCTGCAGTAATTTAATGCCCCACAAGCCCTCACCCCGCAGCTGGCAGTTGCCTGCTTCCAGCTTCAGATCACAGCCAACACCTTCACGGTACAGGAGCTCAATGCCCCGCAGGTTCTCCCGCAGCTCCTCTGCCTGGCTGGGCTTCTTTTCGTCTTCCCCAACGTTTTCAGCTTCCGCGCGTCTCCGCAGGGCAGCGGCCTTCACCCGGGGCGATCCTAGCGCCTCGGATGCCGCCAGTACCTCGCCTAGCGGGGAGGGGCCCAGCACCCCCTCGTAGGCAAAGGTCAGCACGGCCTCCCAGCCCCCCAGGGATACATCCAGGCCGAAGGGGGTCGGGGAACCTCCGCAGCCCAGCAGCCTCTCTCGGAAGAGGCTGCTAACCGCCGCCAGGATAACACGATGCACCCCATATACCCGCCCGGCGACTGACACCTCTTGGTCTAGCAGCAACTTCTGCTCCCGCAGCCGCTGTGCCTCCGCGAAAAACTGGCTCGGATGCTCCTCGCTGCGCAGCCCTTCTGGCTCCGCCGCGTCTTCGTCGTCCTCATCCTCTTCTTCCTCTAAGGACAAGGCTGGAGATGGAAGATTCCCTGGCGCCAAGGGCCTGGGGCCAGGCTCTTCTAGAGGAAAGTATGGCAAACTGGGATCCTCATCAGGGGAGGGAGGCCAGGAGGGGGTTCTCTGAGCCGGCAAAGGGAGTCCAAGGCGGTCCTTCTGGACCTGAAGAGAGACACTCTCCAGGCCAGAGGAAAACTGTGCAGTGTCCGAGACGCTCATGGCCCGGGTTTGCTGGATAGCTGCAGGTGAGCAGAGGCAAGAGCTGAACCCAGAGAGGCCAGAGGAACCATGTCTCCAGCCCATCAAACCCTTTTTTTGTTTGTTTTGTTTTTAAGAGACAGTCTCAAACCCTCCCCCTGCTCCAGCTCCTTCCCCAACCTCCTGGGATATGTCATGCTACTATGAGGTTCATGCAGAGCAGCAAAGCATTCCTGCAAGGAGCATGCATAAAGATCCAGTAACCCGGCCATACTCCTCCCGTCTTGCCCCCATGCTTTTTAGTCACCCTCAGGAGACACCGGTTTTCTGTCTGCCCTCTCACTTGAGGCTCCCTCTGCTTGGGGTGGAGTGGCAGAGGGAACTTGCCCCTCATCCTAGGCAGCTAATTATAGCCAGTGCTGGCTAGGTGCTGGCTTGTGGTGCCAGAACTCCAACACCCAATCCCCTGAGCCCTGTCCTGGATTGACACCCCACCCTTCCACCTGCAGGTCACCCCTGGGTGCTGAGCTAGGCAAATACAGAAACCAAGGAGGATGAGGGGATTGGGTGGAGCAAGCCAGGCCAGACTGGCTATTCTCACCAGAGCTGGTTGAAAGGGACAGGAGAAAAAAGTCTGGACTGTCAGGACCAGCAGGAATGCTGGGCAAGGAGAAAGAAGTATGTGTGTGTGTCTCCTGGGCTTTGGCTATCAGCTTTTCTGTGCATGATAAGCGATCCTGCAGCAAGCGATACCAATGTGAAGTGCAAATATGGCCCATCCTGTCCATGGAGGGCAGAGGAGTGGGGAAAGGGAAAGCACAGGAGTCAGAGCTGCAGACCTAGGTGACTCACCCCCTGCTTAGGGCTTTCTCTCTGTCCAGAGATGGGGTAGGAAGTGAGATCCTGAGGTACAACCCTGTGCATTCAGAAGAGTCCAGAGGAATCTAACCTTCACCTTGGCACAGGGAGAACCACCAGACAGGGAAACAAGTGGTTGATCAACACTGCTATGGGGACCGGGGTCCTGGACTAAATAGGCTGGGGGTTTGCAGGTATTCTCTTTGAAGTGGGACAACAGCCTCTCCACTGCCCTAGACGACACCTTTCTTATCCTGAGATTGGTGCTTAGCTGAAGCCCCTAAAACCAAGCACTTTGTGCTACAATTTCAGATGTCATCTTGGGGAAAGATTTAGTGAGGGGGCAGTGATGCACCTCCCCTCCCCTCTCTGGGAGATGTGGGGTAGGCCAAGAGCTACTATGAACACACTCCCTGGCCTACAGAATGTCTGATTCAGGCTGGACAAGTTGATGCAACAAGCCCACATAATAAGGGAATGAGGCAAAATTGTCCTTAAGATTCAGGTGAGAGGGCTATCTTGGAGGAGGGGAAGGTGAGTTGACCTACATGGCACTTCTTCCAGCTTCTAAAGCCATCTCCATTTCCCCATTTGTGACCTGGGTACCCTGGGCTACTCGGGGTAAGCATTCCTTGGGTAAGCCTAGCCAGGCTGCACTCCCCAGCATGATTAGACAAAGAGGCAGCTCATGATTGTCCTGGCCAGTGAAAAGGGAGATAGTGGCCAGGTTCTGCACCCCCTTTCTCACTTCAGACATTTTGGACTCCTCTCATGGCCTCCTTGCTGCATCTTAAGCCCACACCAGGAAGGGAAGGAACCACAACACAATCTGGTGGAGACACACACATGTCTCGGCTCCACTCATAATCTGACTACAAGGAGAAGGATATTGGACCCCACTAGGAGTTCTATGTCAATCTCATAGTATCTGGATAGCTCTGCCACATCTACTCCTCTCTGGAGGTTGTGTGAGGCTCTGCCTTGGTGAGAGCAATGGCCCAAAGCAAACTCACAAAGGTAGGATAAAATCTGCTGTCTAGGTCACCATTAAAACCCTGGGACTGCCCTCCAGGTCCATCAATCATCCTGACTGTAGACTCACTGGCTAAAGAGGGGTCCTGGCATCTCTGTCATGTCTGTGCTGTCTCAGCCAGGAGAAAGTACAACTTTCACCTTTGTAGAAGAGCCTGAAGCCCAGCTGCATTCACAGGATAATCTAAGGAATTCCAGGGCCAAGCCTGGCAAGGCCCTAGTGTGCTTCTGCTGGGTCATGGGAGACACAGTAATGTATTGGAGCTCAGGGCTCCCAAAGTTGGGGGATCTAGGTGGGCAAGAGAGAACTTTGCTCCAGAGGAGCTCTTGGTGGGTATCTCTGAGGAAGAAGGGAGTACGGGGTGGGGTTTTCACTGGAGACCTTGGTTCCTCCCTCACCACCTTGCTCCCCAGATCTACTGTATGCCTAACATCTGGGGTGTCATTCTCTACCTGTGGCTGCCTCGGATCACTGCTCAGGCTGACATAGGTATGAGCTCAGATCTCTCCTGGGCAGTGGGCAGGGATGCTAGGGTACAGCATGAATGAATGCACTCCCTTTCCATCCCAGGCCTCACATGGCTCATTATCCTGCTCTCAGCCTTGGTCACTACTAGCACTGGCTTGCCTATCTCAGCCATCTCTACTAATGGCTGGTGAGTCTGTGCTAACCTTATGTACCCTAAGGGTCCCCAGTCCTGTCAGGAATTGCTGAGACCACAGATCCGTTCTTTTTTCTCCTCTCAGGTGGCAAAAATTTTCTTCTCACCTGAGTCCAGAGCCTGCTATTTCCACAGGGATCATCTTGGCCTTTGCTAACACTATAGCTGTGGCTATGCACACAGTGGCCTTTGCAGAGACCTTTACCCCTCCTTCAGGTAAGCCTACCCTTTTCCTTTTCGTGCTCCTCTCTCAAGTCTGCTGACCCTGGAAGATCTAATCCTCCAGACCAGGCAAATCATTTTAAAAATCACATGGAAGGATCAAATCAGCCAATAAATACTTTGTGACCTCTTTGTTCTGCCCTTCTAGGAGCACAGGGCATGGCTGCCAAACATGGATCTGAGTGGCAACCATGACTGTCCTGGGTGTGGTGCCGGCTGATGTGAAGTGGGAGTCTAAGGCAGGCTCTGGGGGAGAAGTCTAAAGTGGGGGGTCAGGGTGAAGAGGCTGAAAGTGGTGAGAATTAGGAAGAGCTGGGCAGGGCCAGGCTGCAATGGGAGGAGAGGGAGAATTACATGTGTGGGTAAGAGCAGCTGCTGCCTGGGAAGGCCAGGCTAAATGGGGGTAAGGAGCTGGTGGAACAAATTTCTAGTGGGGGTGGGGGTAGGACTTGAAATTAGATGGTTTTGCTAGAGACCATCATACCCTAGTTCTTCAAGGGGAAGAAAAGAGAACTTATTATGAGGATCTGTTGGAATAAGCACCAGACAAGACTAGTGGAGAAACATACAAGATGAGAAATGCTATTTATTGCTCCCAAGAAATGCTATTTATGGCTTTGGGAGTAATACTTTGCAATTTGAAGAAAGAAGGAAAAGGACAGCCATTTGGGCAGAACGCCTTCCTCTAAAGAGGATAGTGGGAAAAGGAGGGTTGGGAGAAGCATTAATATGGGACAAGGAGGGCCAGGTGCAATGGCTCACACCTGTAATGCCAGCACTTGGGAGACAGAGGCAGGTGGATTGCTTGAGGTCACAAGTTTGAGACCAACCTAAGCCAGAGCGAGACCTCATCTCTAAAAATAAACAGGCGTTGTGGTGGGCGCCTGTAGTCTTAGCTACTTGGGATGCTGAGGCAAGAGAATCATCCAAGCCCAGGAGTTGGAGATTGCTGTGAGCTGTGATACCACAGCACTCTACCGAGGGCAACAAAGACTCTGTCTCTACAAAAAAAAAAAAAAAGTATCAAAGATACTATCAAGGTGGGCGGTGTCCCCACATATCGAGGGTGGTGGGTTCAAACCTGGCCCTGGCCAAACTGCTTGAAGAAATAGCCGAAAGTTGTGGCAGGCACCTGTAGTCCCAGCTACTCGGGAGGCTGAGACAAGAGAATTGCCTAAGCCCAGGAGTTGGAGTTTGCTGTGAGTTGTGTAATGCCACGGCACTCTACCGAGGGTGATAAAGTGAGACTCTGTCTCTAAAAAAAAAAAAAAAAAAAAAAAAAAGATAATATCAAGGTGCTTTGGCATGAACAAGAAGGATGGACTTGTCATTAACATGAGAAAGACTTCAAGACTAAGTTGGGGAAAGCCTAAGTTTAATTTTGAATGTTAAATTTGAGATCCCTATTAAGCATCTAAGTGGAGATGCTAACGGGCAGAAGTCTAGGTTGGAAATATAAAACTGGGAGTCACATTAAAATTTTAATTTAACACACATTTAACATTTTAATGTTGTCCCTTTTTTCGGAGACAGTTTCACTCATAGCTCATGGCAACCTCAAAACCTCAAACTCAAGGGCTCAAGTGATTCTCCTGCTTTAGCCTCCCCAGAAGCTAGGACTACAGTCGGATGGCTAATTTTTCTTTTATTATGGAAACAGGGTCCCACTCTTGCTCAAGCTGATCGCAAACTCCTGAGTTCAAGCAAGGCTCCTGCTTTAGCCTCCTGGAGTGCTAGGATTACAGGCAAGAGCCACCATGCCCCACACAAAATGGTTTTCACGTGTAACACTGGATGAAGTCACTGCAGGTGAATGTTTAAACAGAACAACCGAAGGACTGAACTGTGGAAAGTTAAGAGATTATGGAAGCTGGATGCAGTGGCTCACACTGTAATCCCAGTGGGAGGCTGAGGTGGAAAGATTATTTTAAGCCAGGAGTTTGAGGCAAGCCTGGGTAATAACAAGACCCCATCTCTACAAAATAAAAAAACAACAAAATTTAGCCAGGCCTAGTGATACATGGTTATAGCCTCATTTATTGGGAGGCTGAGGTGAGAGGATTGCTTGAGCCAGGGAGTTGGAGATTGTAGACAGTTATGATAATGCCACTGAACTCTAGCCAAGGCAATCGAATGAGACCTTGTCTCAAACAAAGCAAAACAAACCCAAAGAAGATTTATGACAAGAGTGGTGTCAGTGAGGATGAGTTCCAAAGCTGAGATATATTAGGGATGAGGGAGAATCGTCTGGAAATATTGTGAGGAAAAATGAGGACAACCATACCACCTCAGTGGTACAATGGGCATGAGAAACACCACCACTACAAAGTGGTGGGAAAAGCAGAGTCCTCACAAGAAACCATGTCTCAGCAAGAAAAAAAGTTGAGGATAGAGAATTTGGCAAATGACAGCCTGTTAGTTTCAGAGAGCAGAGTAGGAGAGTTGGAAGGAGGAGGTAGGTGGGGACAGAAAAATAGGGAGGAGATAAGTGGTTATTAGAGCATAAAAGATGAGTCAGTAGTTCAGGACTTCTTGTGATTGTTACCAAGATAAAGGGCATAACTGGATTAGTTCTGGTAGTTGTGGCAGGGAGAAATGTTTGTCTAGGGCACCCATAAACCTGCCCAAAGAAGTGTATACAGGTCAAAGTGTATGGAGGAGGGGAAGTTTTATTTTTTTAGAGACAGAGTTTCATTTTGTTGCCCTTGGTAGAGTGCTGTGGCATCACAGCTCATAGCAACCTCCAGCTCTTGGGCTTAGGGGATTCTCTTGCCTCAGCCTCCTGAATAGCTGGGACTACAGGCGCCTGCCACAATGCCCGGCTATTTTTTTGTTGCAGTTTGGCTGGGGCTGGGTTCGAACCCACCACCCTCAGTATATGGGGCTGGAGCCTTACTCACTGAGCCATAGGCACCGCCTGGCGGTTTTATTCTTGAATTATAATTAGACCGGTCTCCAGGTCTAATAATACCACTTCAAATAATTTAAATAAGATGATGAATGTAAAGCAGTAAGGATAAGGCCTAATACTTAGATATTACTGGTATAATACAATTGTTAAGGAGAAGTTACATTTCCTCTCATTCTTGGCTCCTGAGCAGCAGCTTCCAAAGCTACCTGAATGGTCAGCCAGGATGCTGCTCTGACCTCGGCCTCCTTACCCATTCATTTCAACACGATCCAATTAACAACATACAAAACCAAAAATATTTTATTGCTGAGTCATCTTGGGTTTCCAAAAGGGACCTCATCTATATCTTTGCTAGGACTTCCACATCAGGACACAGATTGAGCCCAGGGTCCTTGGGCTCCATCCACTTAGGGAACTAAATACTGTTAATCTTGTTAGTCCCTCCAGGTCACTTCTACTTCATCTGTCCGATACCTGTGGAAAAACAGAAAAAGCATAGTGGAAGGCTATCCCCTATCATCTTCCATTCTTCTCTCCCCTGATGCTCCTGGACTGTCTTCCCCACTGATTTCTGCCTACCTCCCATGTAATTCTGTCTACACCAAAGATAGGTGATATCACTCACCTCTGTGTGATACCAGAATCACTGAGGGGGGTCCTCTGTCCAGCCTGAAACATCTCCCAGCCAGCTTGGGCTATCATGGCTCCATTGTCAATGCAGAATCTGGGATGGAAAAGAGATATGAAATCTGGGATCAAAGGGTGTAAAAGTCACAATACGGGGCAAAGTATAAAGGATATCAAGAAACATAAAGGATTTTTACCTTTCATCTGTGGCAAAAAGCCGGGCTCCCCGTTCCTGGCACATTGTCTCCATCATCTCCTGTAGCCTCATATTACCTATAAGAGGTATGAGATAGAGTTAGCTTAATTTCAGCCATCTTTTTTTTCATTGTCTAGCAGTACACGACATATGTACTTACTTAAGACATTGAAGTAAAGGTCAGGAGGTAAGGATTAGGAAGCACAGGACAAGAAAAAAACCTAATAACCCCCCTCAAATCCTTAGTGATTTGTTTAGTACAAAGTGGATTTGACAAAGATGATGCACAGTGCCAAGAATAGGAAGAAAGAATACTGTTGAATGATACCTACACCCCACACCTCCCACAATGAGGGCTTCCTGGGAGCCGCAGTGCGCCATGGCTCGCTCTGTGATCTCTACCAGCATTGCAAACACAGTTTCCTGTGGGGCACAGACAAGGTGAAAACATCAGAGGGGCATCCCAGCTTAGTTCTGCTCTACTATATACATGCAACCTTCTCTAGCCCCAACTTCCTGTCCCAGGTTTTTACTTCATTACCTGCAGAGAGAAACACAGATCCTCAGGAGTACACTCGTCCGTGGCCAGCATCCGCTGGGCTACATCCTATGATGTAAGGAAAAACACAAGAAATAGTGCTTTGGAGATTATATGAGAGCAAAAAAATATACTTGGAGGATTGCCACGTTTCACTACAATTCAACTTACCAGCACACCCTGTACCACACATTCTCCTTTACCAGCATCAAAGTATAGAATGGGCAGCGTTCATTTAAGAATCAATACTTAGTTCTTCTTCTTTTTTTTTTTTATTGTTAGGGATTCATTCAGGTTACACTAATTGCATTTGTCAGGCAAAGTACCTCTTATAAATGTGTTTCTCCTCTAAGAGGTGTGCCACTCCTCCCCCTTCCCTCTGTTCCCCCATGTCCCCACCTCACACTGTATACTAGGTTATCAATTGGCCTCATATCAAAATTGAGTACACTGGAGTCTTGCTTCTCTATTCCTTTATTTATTT